AATCTGGAATGGCAATCTCACAGTTGAACAGAGTAATGACATTGAGAGATTACAATTTAAAGCGGGCGCTAAGAATAATTCTCCCAATCAGTCCAATTTGAAAACCCTAAAGGAACGTATAGAGATGTTATGTGCGTTGACATGATTAAGAAAATGTCAACCCCCGGCCATAAACTTCACCATATTCTCCCTATGAAGGTTTCTCAATTAAGAGAGAGGGAAACGAGGACAAATAGCTTAGAATATTATAATTATACGTGCAGAACTAAACGATTTAGTCAGAGTCCTATCATTTATGCAATAAATAAGTACAATTTAACTCTTCATAACTCTTAGCTTGGCTAACTCGATCTTAGTTTCGAATCTTACCAATCTTACATGGGTTTTTTTATAGTATAAGATAATATAATAAATAGTTCTTATTTCATTCTTAATCAATTTTTAAAAACAGTAAAAACTTATTTGTAGCACATTGTAATTTAGCTTAGCTATTTAATGTGTAAATTTCTATTATATTATATTATATTACATAAATACATCATCGTTCACTGTTAAGGGAAGAGCCAAAGATACTCCAGAACAAACTAAAGGCAATTGATCAGACGATTGCCGTATGCGAACCGATTCAGTTCCTCGCACGCAGCTGGTTCTTCAGAGAAGATATTTTGAAGACATCTGTACAGTTCTGTATGTCAAGCCTAAGGCTAACGCTAAGAACATTCAGTATTCAATATGTACAATTTACAATTAGAGGACTACCATTTATACCATTACAAAGGAAATAAAACTGCAACTGTCTAATGTCTTTGTGTTCGGCTAGCATACAATCGGCCAGCGCTCGCTTATATAATTCTCTTTTTTTCAAAATTCGGGATGACCCACATTCCATGGACACAATTTAATTTTAAGGTAACCAAAATTTATAGCCTGCTAACAGAATTATGTAAAACATGTATTAATTCATGTCGATATTCCAAGGCTTTGTTGTATCCTATGTTGTTTTGTATTAAATGTTGTGAATCGACTCGCAGTAGTAATATAGGTACCGATCGATCCGGATTTTTAGGGGGCCGCAAGGGGGCCGCATCATTATATATGCAGGTAATTACCATGCAAGGGGGCGGCGCATCATTATATATGCAGGTAATTAAGGGGGCCGCACAAGTGAGGGTGCGTAGTGACGTCACGCGGGCCTGTCTCGGCGAAATTGGACAAAACTTGCTGACTACGCATTTTTTAGCGTCGCCCACGTTTATGATACAATTGAGGGATTAATGTTGGCTTACTATGATTGGTTGTTTGATTTAATGAGTGTTTGTATAAAAATCGACAAGCGTCTTGTAACAAGCATCGTCTATATTTGTTCCACATCAGTCATGGCGTGTCTACACGGTAAAACCACATCTTACAATTTATTGGAAGGAATATTTGCGAATGCAGTCGCACAAGAAGTTGAAAGGCTTTGTGTGGAATCCTGTAATGGTTGTCAAGTCAGTCATCCTAGTCAAAGACAACATGACTGCCTCATGATGAACGAAAACGAACGGATGGCAAATGTATGGTTTACAAGCGATCGAACGAGTGAATGGTAAGCGTATGGTTTGGAATGAATTCGCTGAGGCAATGAGGGTACTAAAACTGGCGGTTGATAGAGATGTACTCGAACATTTACAGCAACTGGAAAAAGATCCAGATTCTACGTTTGTCGATTCATTGATGGAACTACATCAGAACACTGAGAACCACGAACTACAATGTATACTGAACTATTTGTTTCATTGGAGATTAGATGACCCACTCGAGTCCGTAGCTGAAGCGTTTTTCTCTTACCCACCGAGTTACATGTATTATGTGAAGGCGACGGGTGAACGATTTAGAAGTTTTGAGGCAGATCATAAGAAAGCTTATCAAGAACTCATGGAGAAAAAACTTATAGAACAGTTTAACAAATAGTTGTAATATTTTTGACACTATCGTCTGTTATTTGTATCAATAAACATGTTTTATACTTTGCAAATGTTGCGTTGTTATGCGTTGCTAAGTCATTAGGAGGCGTGTGGGTAATTAAGGGGATTAAGGCAATACGAATTTGCATAACTAAGTGTATCCCGATGGATAGATAGGGATTATTTTTAACGCAGGTGTATACCTTAAAATCAGGCGCGTGGCTTTGCGGGTGCATGCATATATTAACGTACAACATATTTGTACACGGATCTTTTCGCGCGGGCGGAAAGAGCGGGCTTTGCCGGCAAGAAATTACACAATATTTCAGTTTTTAAAAGCATTTATTTCTTCAGAACCTTATACAAAATTTAGTACGGTCTACTTCTAAGAGCGTAACGTCTAGGTGTTTTTGTTATTTTTAAAGAGTTCTCATATTCTTGTCTATCTTCTGGGGATAACTTTGCAAGTTTTTCCGGCTTCATTGGAATATATTTTGGTCGGTCGGTCAATATAAAACGTTCATAATCCTCTCTTGCTTCCGGAGTCATTCGCGCTAGGTCACGTTCGGTCCAATCTGCTGGGTCAACCCAATTGTGAAAAAAATTGCGCTTGAGTTTTGGCCGTTCCTCTTCTGTTGGTGGTGGTGTAAGGAAATTAGGTTTAGGCGTAGCAGGCACTGGTGGTACTATCTCAGCAAATTCATTGGGTGGTGGTATTTCTGCAGGCATTAGTGAAGTTCCCTGAACAGGAGCTTGAGCCGGGACATCCATCTTATTTTTGAATGTGAGAAACCGATTTAGTTGATCCGAATATAATTTGCTTTTTTCCACCACAGAAAGTTGTGGTGCATCCATGATTTCTTTCATTCGCTGCTCGGCATCATACATGGCATTTACAAGTGGTGGTTGTCGATACGACTGTTTTTGTATAAACTTTTCAATCTCACCGGGAAGTATGTTGGTCTTGAGTCGTTGTTGATCATCTGTTATTGGCTTTAAATCCAACATCAAATACCCGTGAGGTCGGCTCGTAGCATCTTCATAACTCCTGATAAATTCTTGTACTTTTCCGGGATTTATTTGCCTTGCAAGCATAGAAATTTGTTGTTTATCTCTTGGTGACTTGAACAACACGATATAATGGGCGTTTAGGCTAATATTTCTCATTTCTTTGCCTTGATGAAATATATTTTGAACAATATAGATGATAGATAAATTCCGATGATGACTTCCTTTCGTAAAAAGATCAGAAATACGTTTATCTTTGCCAGATTGAGCCATAAGGTCGTCCAATACGATCAAATTCCGTTGCGATACGTCCAAGTAATCTGCGTTGTCGATGTCTTCGGGGATGCCTTGATTAAACTCGATTCCAGGCATTGTTCTAATCATATCAAAATAGGAGGGTTGCCATTGACCATAACACCAGATGATACGTTGAGAAGCAGGACTTATAGTTTTCTGTGCATTCTCCAGGAGAGATTTTACCCATACAGTTTTGCCGCTTTGGGTACACCCAGCTACGATACACGTAAATGGGTGTTGCAAAACTACAGATCCATTAGTCGTCATGCGAATGTTGTCGGTTGGTTTTTGATCATGCACTTTTTGTTTGTGTCGATTTAAATTGAACGGTTTAGAGAAATATTTCCCACAGATATGACACGAATGAGACATGTTTACTCTATGACGAATAGTTAGATAATAAATCTCTCAAATAGAAACCGGGTTTATATAACTAGTATCTCGTAGCCAACTCCCTGGTCTCGGACCCAGACTCCTTAGGCTCGGAGCTCCTTAGGCTCGGAGCCAGCTCCTTAGGCTCGGAGCAGCTCCTAAGGCTCGGAGCCAGCTCCTCAGGCTCGGAGCCGGCTCCTTAGGCTCGGAGCCGAGTATCTTAGCCTCGGAGCCGAGCTCCTTAGCCTCGGAGCTAGCTCCTTAGGCTCGGAGCCAGCTCCCCAGGCTCGGAGCCTGCTCCTTAGGATCGGAGCCAGCTCCTTAGGCTCGGAGCCAGCTCCCCAGGCTCGAAGCCAGCTCCTTAGGCTCGGAGCAGCTCCTTAGGCTCGGAGCCGAGTATCTTAGCCTCGGAGCCGAGCTCCTTAGCCTCGGAGCCGGCTCCTTAGGCTCGGAGCCGAGTATCTTAGCCTCGGAGCCGAGCTCCTTAGCCTCGGAGCTAGCTCCTTAGGCTCGGAGCCAGCTCCCCAGGCTCGGAGCCTGCTCCTTAGGATCGGAGCCAGCTCCTTAGGCTCGGAGCCAGCTCCCCAGGCTCGGAGCCTGCTCCTTAGGCTCGGAGCCAGCTCTTTAGGCTAGGAGCCAGCTCTTTAGGCTCGGAGCCAGCTCTTTAGGCTCGGAGCCAGCTCCTTAGGTTCGGAGCCAGCTCCTTAGGCTCGGAGCCAGCTCCTTACGTTCGGAGCAGCTCCTTAGGCTCGGAGCCGAGCACCTTAGGCTCGGGGCCGAGCTCCTTGTGCTCGGAGCCAGCTCTTTAGGCTCGGAGCCGAGCTCCTTGGGCTCGGAGCCAGCTCCTTAGGCTCGGAGCCAGCTCCTTAGGTTCGGAGCCAGCTCCTTAGGCTCGGAGCCGAGCTCCTTGGGCTTGGAGCCAGCTCCTTAGGCTCGGAGCCGAGCTCCTTGGGTTCGGAGCCAGCTCCTTAGGCTCGGAGCCAGCTCCTTAGGTTCGGAGCCAGCTCCTTAGGCTCGGAGCCGAGCTCCTTGGGCTCGGAGCCAGCTCCTTAGGCTCGGAGCCGAGCTCCTTGGGTTCGGAGCCAGCTCCTTAGGCTCGGAGACTTGTCTAAATTGCTTTCTCTCTTCCGATATAAGCTTCCTTATTGTTGTGTTTTACTCATTTGCTTCCAAACCGTCGAACAGAAATGATCAATCTTCTAAGACACAAGCCATTTCTTGAATTGTTGGGCACGTCTGAGCCTGATCAACAACAAGCACTACTGGAAACAGCAACCGCCGGGCAAGTACACTGCCTGTGTCTCTGTGTAGAAAACGTTATGAAAAGAAAATATTTAATGCCGAAGCATGTAATGAAGAAACTCCGACCTTACAAACATGAAATGCTTAGGTTGGTAGATAGAGGAAAATGTGGAAGAAGAAAAAAACGGATACTCATTCAGCATGGTGAAGTAAGAGAGGATTATGAACGTTTTATATTGAGCGATAGACCGAAATATATTCCAATGAAGCCGGAAAAACTTGCAAAGTTATCCCCATAAGATAGACAAGAATATGAGAACTCTTTAAAAATAACAAAAACACCTAGACGTTACGCTCTTAGAAGTAGACCGTGCTAAATTTTGTATAAGGTTCTGAAGAAATAAATGTGTTTAAAAACTGAAATATTGTGTAATTTCTTGCCGGCAAAGCCCGCTCTTTCCGCCCGCGCGAAAAGATCCGTGTACAAATATGTTGTACGTTAATATATGCATGCACCCGCAAAGCCACGCGCCTGATTTTAAGGTATACACCTGCGTTAAAAATAATCCCTATCTATCCATCGGGATACACTTAGTTATGCAAATTCGTATTGCCTTAATCCCCTTAATTACCTACACGCCTCCTAATGACTTAGCAACGCATAACAACGCAACATTTGCAAAGTATAAAACATGTTTATTGATACAAATAACAGACGATAGTGTCAAAAAATATTACAACTAAAACTATTTGTTAAACTGTTCTGTAAGTTTTTTCTCCATGAGTTCTTGATAAGCTTTCTTATGATCTGCCTCAAAACTTCTAAATCGTTCACCCGTCGCCTTCACATAATACATGTAACTCGGTGGGTAAGAGAAAAACGCTTCAGCTACGGACTCGAGTGGGTCTTCTAATCTCCAATGAAACAAATAGTTCAGTATACATTGTAGTTCGTGGTTCTCAGTGTTCTGTTGTAGTTCCATCAATGAATCGACAAACGTAGAATCTGGATCTTTTTCCAGTTGCTGTAAATGTTCGAGTACATCTCTATCAACCGCCAGTTTTAGTACCCTCATTGCCTCAGCGAATTCATTCCAAACCATACGCTTACCATTCACTCGTTCGATCGCTTGTAAACCATACATTTGCCATCGTTCGTTTTCGTTCATCATGAGGCAGTCATGTTGTCTTTGACTAGGATGACTGACTTGACAACCATTACAGGATTCCACACAAAGCCTTTCAACTTCTTGTGCGACTGCATTCGCAAATATTCCTTCCAATAAATTGTAAGATGTGGTTTTACCGTGTAGACACGCCATGACTGATGTGGAACAAATATAGACGATGCTTGTTACAAGACGCTTGTCGATTTTTATACAAACACTCATTAAATCAAACAACCAATCATAGTAAGCCAACATTAATCCCTCAATTGTATCATAAACGTGGGCGACGCTAAAAAATGCGTAGTCAGCAAGTTTTGTCCAATTTCGCCGAGACAGGCCCGCGTGACGTCACTACGCACCCTCACTTGTGCGGCCCCCTTAATTACCTGCATATATAATGATGCGCCGCCCCCTTGCATGGTAATTACCTGCATATATAATGATGCGGCCCCCTTGCGGCCCCCTAAAAATCCGGATCGATCGGTACCTATATTACTACTACTCGCAATTATTTTATTTTAAATTCCCAAATATGTAGTATGTATACTCATACTAACGTATAAAGGCTATTAACTTGGACCATCACGAATGTAAATTAGAATATGGTATAGTAAAATATATTATGATTAATTTGCTTGGGTAAAAATTTGGAAAATATTAATAGCAGTTAATAGTTCTATTGACAATGCTCGTTCTCCCGTGTTTACTTACAGTATAGCTGTATGTCAGTTATAATATTGTTTTGCTACACCTTCTTTTATACTGTATATTGAGCTGTTGTTCATTCAATACGCAGAGATATAAATTGTTGCACCATTAGAATGATTAAAACGTTTGATAACTTTTTTTACTTCTCCACTTTCATGTCCGAACAGTTTGTATTTCGATATCCACTTCATATTTCACAATTTAATGCATCGCGAAACGTACTACGCTCTACAGGAATTGTGTTGATTGCGAATCTGTGACACTACAGTGCGACTGTGTACTAAAAGTTGGGTTACATTTTACTGGTATTTTCGGCGAAAAAAAAGATGGTTTGATCGCTGCTTACATGGTCGAGACTAAGTTATACACAGTCACCCACTCTGTTTACGTTCTTACATGTCTCGTCAGTTACATGTGTCCTATTGTATCCGTTCGAACCAGTATGCTTTTTTTATTTGCCCAAGGCCAAGAATTACATTAATTCTGATTCTAGTTTGATGGTCTTTGATAAAAGATAAAACCAAAAGCGGTATAATTTATCCGGCTATCGCTCTTGCCTGCTCTAAATTAAAGCTTTAATTAAAAGTAATTACTAAAATGTATGTACAGTACAACATTCATTGAAAATGAAGTATTTTCTTTATACTATAGTGCCAAACTCATGTGCTATTGATAACGGTGGATGTAGCGACTTGTGTTTGTTGGCAGCTGGTGGTAATCATACCTGTGCATGTCCAACTGGTATTGTTCTCTTGGATGATGGTAAAACCTGTGAAGATGGTAAGCATCACGTTGTACTGTACTGCGGACTTTCCTTGTATTACATTTTTGTACTGTAAAGTATCACATGTAATTAGAGAGAGATGTTTGTAAAACCGCGGAATAACGTCTACGCATGCACGTGTACTAGACAAAATGGCAAGGAATTTTAATGCAAAATTGTAATTAAAAACATGTCCATTTAAGTATTTCATTAAGCGAAACAAATAAAAAATACACTAGACGGGTACTTTAGACATCAATAAAAAGTTTTCTAACATTTAAAATCTAAAAATTCGGCTTGTATTTTCACAGAAAAGGCAACGCATCGAGGTCGCTTCCATTTTGAGTTTTTGACAACCTTTAGACTGCGAACAGTCCCTCCTTAAAAGAAAATGCGGGACTGCAGACAACACATCAAGAAACGACATGCGCGTTGCCCACACAACGCAAAATTTCGATTGGTTGATATAGTTGATTAATTGACAGTTTTTTTTTAAAGTTGAAAGATATAAAACACGAATACGAAAACTTGAGAAAACTGGCAAGAAACACACAAAAAGACGTATAGTTTCTGTAACTGCTGCAGTTAAACCTTCTTTTTAATGGGAAGACATTTATTTTACAATATCTGTTTCAGCTGTAATTTTTTCGCTTTTAAGTGGCCGAATACATGAGCATTTAAAAAATATATAGTTTCCTCGACGGTAAAGTTTTGTACATGTCAAATAACCTTCCGACTTTCAGTCGCATGTCTATCAAAATATTGCCAATTCTAGTGAACATCGTGCTTAGTATGAAGTCTTTAGGGCTTGATGCAATTTATTTTCGTATTCTGACTATCGTTAGGCTATGTTTTTCAAACGTTTTTGGCAGATTTTTTCGTTTAAAAATTGTTTCACTCCTCGGTTTTTGGCGCGAAAACCAGAGAGGGCAGTTGCATTTCACAGAGGGCAGTTGCGTTTCAGAGCGGGCCGGATGCAAAAAAACGGCCCGCTCTGAAAGGCTCCTCAGCCAATCAGATTGCTTCATTTTCACTGATAAAAAATAAAGTATGTTATTTCGAGCGAATACAATTGGATGCAATACTATGACCATTGACTACGTCTATGTATTTTTGCTTGTAAAAGGTAAATGTTTTTTTCACTGCATGTGAACTTGATTTTTAACTTTAAAAACAATGTGTTGTCTGCAGTCTTTCCTTTCCTTCTAAGGAGGGACTGCTCGCAGTCTAGACAACCTTCGGAACACTTGACATTCTTGACACCACGTTCGTGAGGCAAATTTCAGTAAAGGTGAGCATGCGCAAAGGTTTTTCCGTGGTGTTGATGTTTGTAATTTCATATCAGGATTTTGCGCATCTTAAGGTGGCTCCCTAGGGTTTTATTTCTGGGGGTTACGTTCTTCGTATATATGTAAACTAAAACTCGTGTGACTTCAAAATACAAACGAACGTTGTGTTTTAACTCTTTTCGAAGTAAAAGTGTGAATTTTGCTTTAGTTTAAAGCATGAAAAGAGTTCTAAAAGCCACAAGGATACTTGGATGTGATGTTTCAAAAGAAGATAATGTAAACTTGTTTTTTTTTGAAGCGGTATTCCGGAAGTTTTTTCAACCGCCGTGGCGCCGTACGCGAGGTTCGATTGCGAACATTGGGATATGATATAAAGTTTCCTCAAGAATTTGCAGTTTTTTCTCCACAATCTAGCAGCACTTATGACAATAAAGATGACTTAAATAATGAGCCCTCTACGGGTGAAATGAGCAGGGCCGAAACTCCAAACATACCACTATAAAAACTAAAATTTGAACGGGCATTTTGCGAAAACATCCGACGATAGTACTCGCACGGGACGAAATTTGACAAACATTTTTCAAATTAATACCAAGAAGTCATAACCAGTAATTACCTAAATATCTTTGCCAATTTTACATGTATAATCCACGCTTAGTTGACCATTAACCGACACGGTTATAAACAGTATATCAAACATAATTTATATTTTGTGATTTCAAAAAAGTCATGCCTTGTTGTTTTATACAAAATGCATGTACACGTCAGTTGTGGTATTAAATTGTTCGTGTCAAAATTTAGTAAAAATTGCCAAAATTAAACCCAAATTTCTCCGTTTTCCTTCGGTGAACTTTTTTAAAACCTTGCACATTTTTTAATATCGGCACAACAAGTGCAATATCCTTTTTTCTTAAAATTAAATCGAAGGGAAAATTTTTAAAATTGATTTTTGACGTTTTTTAAATTTTCTAAGAAACGTATCGATTTAATTTTTTTTAAATTGAGGGGGGAAAATCATTATACAAGTATTACCTTTTCTGCAAAGTTTTAAAAAATTTCACCGAAGGGAATTTTTAAAATAACCTGAAAAAGACAAATTTTCAACTTTATTCTAAGCATGCTGTTGCCATGACAACATATTTTTAACTCAAAAGTTGCAATTTGTAATGTTCAGGAGAACATTGTCAATGTGTCCAATAAATTTCGTCTTCATGTCATGTAAAATGAAGAAACAGGAGTCTCCTGAATACTATAGTGCAGTAAATTAAAAACCCTAGGGAGCCACCTTAATCTCGATATAATTCATTGTAGAAGGGTTCGTATATTGAAATTACGACTGTGAATTTTTATACATTTATTGGACCTAACTAGGAGCGGTTCCAAAATATGTATCTCTGGACCTTATGGCAAGAATCGAACTTGCACTCTAACCAAGTTACACTGGCCAGTTGATGAGTTGTAGCAGCAAGTTCATGTACAATTTATATACATTAATGTTGTTCCATTGTAAGGTGTGCAGGTTAATATGAAGATTCGGGCATCTACAATAAGTGTAGTGGCGTAACGGTCATTAGGGTTAGTTAAAAACTAAGGGGCCCCGACAGTTAAGGGCCCCATCAGCCACGGCCTATCGCCCAGAAAAAATGCAAGTTAAGCGACATGAATTGGAAAATGCAAAATTATTAATGTTAAATAATAAAGCCTCCATCGACAACGGTAGCTGATTTTTTATTCCATCTCAAATAAACTATTAATAGACTGTTATTGTTTTTGTTACAGACACGGAATAACCGAATTTTCCAGAATATTCTATAAATATTCAATATAAATATAATATCTCAGTCAAACAATGACAACAGTCAACAGGGCCCCCACACCAAATATGGCTAAGGGGCCCCTCTTCCTCCGTTACGCCACTGAATAAATGTATAAAAATTCACACACGAAATTTCCATTCACAAAACCATTTTACAATTTGTAATTTTATACATACACTAGTTTTAATTTCCGTTTTCCAACAAGCAATATAAATATAAAGCAAAATAATATAATTTCCGAATAAATGCATAATTTATTCTAAGAAATCTCCGACCAGTAAAGAGGGGGCATTTACTGTACTCTACCGGAAAGAACATTTATCACAAGATGCGAATTTTGATCATTAAATACAAGGTGTTTTACTTAGTACAATATACAGCTAGGGTGTCTCGAAAACGCTATGGAAATTCAACAGCCTGTCGTGCATCATAAACTTAGCTAAACAATTCAATTTTTACATAGGACGAAAGAGCTCTTATTTAGCTTTTCTATGATACCTTTTTTAAATCGTAACGATAAGAAATGGCCACATACTCGTCAAATAAAAGTTGTCGGTCGAAATCACGTTTTTCCGCCGTTGGGAATTGATAAATACATTAATTATGCAAAGTTAATCAATCCAAAAGCAACGAGAACCTACTGCAAGGTATTTGTTTTGTAAAACGTTTTGATTAAGAATGTTCTCTGTTAAGCAGTTAATTGAACCATGTTTAATGCAATAATGGACTTTCTTATTGTCTCACTAAGACGAGGATACCTATTTATCATGCCAGGACTCGAGCCAGGATTCTAGCTAGGACTCGAGCTAGGACTCGAGCCAGGATCCGGACTCGACTCAGGACTCGAGTCAAAAATGGCGTCAGGTGATTTTGACGGATGGAAATTTATCGACAGCGCTCTTACTTTTAAGGAATTTCTTTAAACTCGGGAAATTTAGACTATTCGTTCACCAACAATTCGAAATGTTTACGGAAATTTAACTGAATCTGAGGAATTGTTTATCGATAACCTAAGGAATGTTTGGCAAATGGAAAGTGAGAGAACTTAAATTGTTTACCAAATTAATTTCCTGCCTTTTTCCACCAGGGTCGATAAAAGAACTAGAACGTTTATAAATTATTATTATTATTATTATTATTATTACAACATCTTTATACACGGTAACTAATCAACCATATTACCTATCAGGATTTACAAAAATTATAAAGGTTGTTTTTCATTAGGCCGTGTTACTAAATACAAATTAAAACTCGAAATACTATTATATAAACTATTATAAAAATATTAAAAAATACTAAGAAATGTTTGGGTCGAAGCGATATGTTAAATATATATATTACAAATGAATTAAGTAGATTTAAAATTTTTACTATTATAGTTCCAGTCTTTAGCAGCAGCATATCCGAATGTCCTTTTCATTGAATTTGTTTTAGGCTTCGACAACATCAGCATCTTGTTATTACTTCTTAAATTATATTTATCAGAATTTGAGATTTTAAACATAGTTGAAACGTTTTCAGGACATTGGTTTGAAAAGGCTTTGGCCACATATGCTAATTTTTGCTCCTTTCTTCTCTCTTCGAGTGTTCTCCAATTTAATTTCTTTAAAATATCTGTGGAGCGAATTTCATAGGTATCACCTGTGATTACTGTAGCTGCACGGTTTTGTAGTCTCTGTAGCTTTTCTTTTGAACCTTCGCCACAGTTTCCCAAAACCATGGAGCAGTAATCAAAACTCGGTTGCACTAAAGCCTGATAAATATATTTAAGAGTTTCAAGAGAGACAAATGGCTTTGCACGGCGGAGCATACCAATGCCCTTCGATACCTTTTTACTAATGTTGTCGATTTGCTCATTCCAACATAGATTGTCATCAATCAGTACACCTAAAGTCTTTTTGGAATAAACCTGTTTCAATAGTTTCCCCCCGCATGATACGCTGGTATTTTTTTGAATTTTAGCTAGTCTTTGACGGGTTCCAATGATCATGTATTCTGTTTTTTCAATGTTTAAAGTTAGCTTGTTTGAAAGAAGCCACTGGTGAATATTTTTCATTTCAGAATTTAGTGCTTCCTCCAAATTATTAATGCTATCTGAACATACTGTAAGATTTGTATCATTTATGGGATCGCCGTAATTGGGGAAACCTGTGGCGAATTCCCTGGCTCTATATGTTGTATTTAAATAGTAGCCGAATCTTATTAAATCATTAAATCATCTGCATACATTGCCGGACAGGATTTATCCAAGCAATTTGGCAGGTCATTGACGTATAATAAAAACAAAAGGGGACCAAGGTTCGATCCCTGGGGAACCCCACAACGTATTTTCCTTGTGGTATATTTGTACATACAGAGCTATCAATATCATCTGACTTTGGCTATAACTGTAACGGTTATCAGCGTCGGAGGACAGTAAATTACACAATAGTCAATATCATTGTTGTTTGTGTTTGGTATATCGAACAAATATCGATATTCAAAATAGGGAATATCCGGGCAGTATTTCATCGAACTAAAACAGTTGGTATTGCCCATCACCAGTAGTCTCTCGCTCTTCACAAATCAGGTACTTGTTTCGTTACCGCTCATTGGTTGCCACTTAACATTCACCAAAGAGTAAGGTAATTCTCCCCTGCCCTAATTCTCCCGTGTACTTAATAACGTAAAATCAGAACAAAAAGCAATCCAATGTGGGATTCCACAAGGATCTAATCTGGCGCCATTGCTATTTTCTATATACATAAACGATTTACCGAACTGCCTCGAACATACTCGAGCATCAATGTTTGCAGACGACACAAATTTGACGTGTTCTGGAGTGTCAAGTGCAGAAATTGAATACAAACTAAACTCCGACTTGTGTAATTTAAGTAAATGGCTCGAGGCCAACAAATGAACATTAAATACTAAGAAAACTAAATCTATTCTGATAGCCTCAAAACGAAAATTAAACCAAATCCCTGAAAACCTCCAATACTAATTAATGATACACTTATTGTCAAACAGAAAGAGGTCTTGGGGATAATAATTGACGAAGAATTAAAATGGAAGGGACACATTAATGCTCAATGCAAGAAACTTTCGAGTGTTGTGGCTCTTCTAAGAAGAACTAAACCTTTTGTATCACAAAATGAATTAGTTCGTATGTACAACTCTTTAGTAATCCCTTACTTTACATATTGTTCGACCGTCTGGAATGACGGAAATCGAACGAATCTTGAAAAACTGTACAAGATGCAAAAAAGGGCCGCTCCTGTCATAACTAGTTCAAGGTCAAAAACAATCTTTCGGATTCTAGGATGGGCTCCAATTGAGTCTATTCTTAGGAAAAGGGAAATTTTAAAGACATTCAAGGCTATCCGTTGTATTGCGCCGGAATACGTCTCTAACATGTTCTCTCATCACCAAAATAACAATTACGAAATGCGGAGTAACATGCGCAAGCTTGTGTTAGGTAAGCCTAAAACTAATTTTATGAAAAGGTCCTTTTCATACCAAGGAGCTTCTGCCTGGAACAACTTACCTATTGACATCGTCAAAGGGTACGAGCAACCATCGACAATTCATTTTAAAATTTTAATCGACAATTGTTTTTCTATAGACTAAATGACTGTTGATAATGCTCACAAGTATTGCAACATGACTTACCAATATTGTTTTATTTAACATGACTTATTTGTGTAAATATCTATTAATATTTTATAGATTTATATAAAACGATCCCAAAAGCAGCATTAGCTAAAAGGCTATCGTTTCCAAATAACTTTTATAAATAAATTCCTGTAATAGATGCCAATATCACCAAATTTAGGCTACTGTATTACCAAATTTAATTAATCCAGAGTTTGTTTGCTAGTAGTAGAACATTTAGCTAGCGTGCGCAACGTGTCTTGTGAAATAAAAACACTGAGTAATGGCAATTCCCCGTATTCTTGATCGAGTTCTTGACTCGAGTCATGGCTCGAATCCTGACTCGAACAATAGTATATCTCGCTCAACTCGTCAATCTTCGTCTTAGTGGGCATTTACGACATGCCGTCTTAAAAAGTGGAGATATACTATTGATTTGGTAAACAATTGGAAATTGATTTGGTAAACAATTTAAGTTCTCTCACTTCCCATTTGCCAAACATTCCTTAGGTTATCGATAAACAATTCTTCAGATTCAGTCAAATTTCCGTAACCATTTCGAATTGCTGGTGAACGAATAGTCTAAATTTCCCCAGTTTAAAGAAATTCCTTAAAAGTGAGAGTGCTGTCGATAAATTTCCATCCATCAATATCACCTGACGTCATTTTTGGCTCGAGTCCTGAGTCGAGTCCTAGCTCGAATCCTGGCTTGATAAATAGGTATCTTCGAGTTGAGCTCATTTTAGACAATTCAACTTTAATTCCCTCTTTCGAATTGTCTATGTTTCGTTTTTCATGCAACGGTGGACGAATGTGATTTCGACCGGCAATTTTTATTTGACGAACATGTGGCCATTTTTCATCGTTGTAAAAAAGGGTATCATTGAAAAGGTAAATAACTGTTCTTTCGTCCTATGTAAAAATTGAATTGTTTAGCCACATTTATTATGCACAACAGCCTGTTGAATTTCCATAGCGTATTTTTAGACACCCTGTAGAATGGCTACTGTATTAGATAATGTATATAATTGGTATTTTAGTTAAGGTTGTTTAGTGTATACCGAAATCGACTCAATATCAATAATTAATGAAGAACCTTTTGTTTTCAGGTCCACAAAATTTTGTGATAGTCGCAAGAAGAACTGAATTAAGATTGATCTCACTAGATACATTAGATCGCACAGCAATTCTATTACCTATACGTAATATGAAGCATGTTATTGTGATTGAATATGATCCTGTTGAGAGATTTGTCTACTGGACTGATCAAGATCTACATCTTATCAAGAGAGCTAAACTTGATGGGTCAGGCAAGTAATTAAATCATTTCAAAAAACTTTTGATCAATGCAATACATGCAACTTTATCAAAAACTACCTAGCTGCGCTAAGGAGATTTTGTTTTGTGCTTCACAATTCTGTAGCACACGAACAACAAGCTTGTCAAAAAAGGTTTTCCATGGAAAGCTGGTTGATCATACACACAAGAAAGTGAACATGGCAAGGAAAACTTGTTTCCTTGCCATGTTTACTTTCTAAGAGAATTGTTTGTACAGAGCTTAGCACTTAATTTTTTGGGTGGACGCTTTATCTGTTAAAATATAAAATTTTACGCATGTTTATGTTGTATGTACAGAAGAACAAGTTGTAGTTCAAGCTGAAGTGAAGTATCCAGAGGGAATTGCATTGGATTGGATTGGACGTAATCTCTACTGGAGTGATACTGGTACTGACAGAATTGAAGTCAGTCGTTTAAATGGTACTTCAAGACGAGTGTTAGTGTCAGAGAACCTGAACGACCCTCGATCCATTGCCGTCGACCCTGGGGAGGGGTAAGTACCTATGGTTTGATATTTGTGATGTTACTCTGAGTGTGTATCCACACCGGGCAAGCTTGAAAAATATGCCTGGCCACGGTGGGAACCGAACCTGCGACCTTTGGAGTACTAGCCCAATGCCTTGCCAACTGAGCTACGCGGTCAGGTCGGTTCGAGTATGTGATATTTCGGAACTGAGTCTAGTTCCTTCGACATCATGTAATCTAATAATCATAATCATTTTGTGTTGGTGTTGTGTACTCAGGTGAATATGATATTTGTGATGTTACTCTGAGTGTGTATCCACACCGGGCAAGCTTGAAAAATATACCTGGCCACGGTGGGAATTGAACCTGCGACCTTTGGAGTACTAGACCAATGCTCTGCCAACTGAGCTACGCGGTCTGGTCGGTTCGAGTATGTGATATTTCGGAACTGAGTCTGGTTCCTTCGACATCATGTAATCCAATAATTGTAATATAGCTAATTAATATGCTAATAACTAATCCAAATAAGAATAACTAATCAATATTCAATATATAGTTCACAAACACTATAACACGGGTTTATCTCGTTTTATTGAGTCTTAAACACTACATTCTGGCGACAAGGATACACAATTGGAGTTAGTAAACACGTTTAGTCAATCTACAACGTCGAAACATCGAATTTCAAAGCGCAAATTCGTATAAAAACAAGATTTTCGTGTGACCACGAGGAAGCCAATTTCGCGCCATTTTCACAACAACAATATATTTCGATTTATTATATGCACAAGGTCTGTATATGAGGTATTCTGTAATCTGATTGGTTCCCTACTAGCAGGATATTAGCTCATATCCTGCTAGTAGAGAAAAACAAAATGGCGGCCAAACTGAATTTACAATGTTTTGCAAACGAGAAAACGGCAAGTTTTTTATAGCCTTCACAGGATTAAAAACACAATGAAAAAACTCCCACAAATTGTTTTCAGGTTAGCAAATAAATTTTTAATATTTAAAATGGTTAAAAATATATATTTTTGAAAAAATAATCGGCCGAAAGAGCGAAGATAAAACCATAAACAAAATAGAAAAATATTGAAAATATTCGAAAAGCAAAGTCTGTGAATTCAGACCTTGTGTATATAATAAAACAGTTATTCCACTCACTCTCGTCGAATATGAGCAATAGCCGATTCGGCGCTACGCGCCTCATCGGCTATTAGCTCATATTCGACTCGAGTTCGTAGAATAACTGTTAAATACTTTTCGTATAAAGTCGTTCGCCGTTTTTTACATCTATCCATGGCAGCTACTAGTTTCTCCTAGTTTCTCCTTGCGGACATTCCCGCCATTCGATGTCCATGCCGATGGAAATACTGGTCATCGCTGGAAAAATGGCTAGGCCGCTTTGAACGGTTGCTTGTGGCGATGAATATTACCGACAAAAAACAACGTGCGATGCCATTACATTTCGCAGGACCGGCTGTTGACGAAATTTTTGACACCCTTTCAGACACTGGCGAAGCGAAAGACTACGACAAAGCGATAGAAGCACTCAATGCCTATTTTATTCCGCACGTAAACACGGCGTTTGAAGAATATAATTTCCGCCATGCGAAGCAAAACCAAAGCGAAACCCTAGATGCCTTTCATACACGTTTATGTCAGCTATCGCAAAATTGCTCGTTTACAGATGTCGATAAAGAGATAAAGGACCAAATAGTCGTTGGTTGCTCATCACAGAAACTTCGAAGAAAGGCTCTACGTGAAGACCCGACCTTAAAGAACCTTTTAGACGCGGGGAGAGCCGAAGAAACGAGTCAAATACAAGCGCAATTCGTGGAGAAACAAGAGTCAAGTCAAAATATCAACGCCATTAAGACGGGCGCTCTCGAGAAACATTAACCCTCGCCTCGCGACATGAGAAAACCACAAAATCAACGTCAAGGCTCAAATTATCAAAGAAATTTCAACAAACCCACACATCAACTTGCCGCAACTGTGGTGGTATCTACCCCCATGCCCGAGATTGTCCAGCCAAAGGAAAAGAATGCCATTCCTGTAAAAAAACTGGCCATTTTGCAAAGGTATGCCGATCGACCCCTAAACACAAACCTCACGAACACCGGAACAGAGTCAACAACCTTTCTGAACAATCGAGCACTAGCCCTCATGATGTCGTCCCTGATTACATTTTCACGAACAGCAAAACCCAACCCCCCAAATGCCAAGTGTTGGTTAAAGAGCACCTTATTGATGTCATTATTCATTCTGGAGCTTCGGTAAACATCATCGATGAGTCCACATACAAGCAGCTCAACCAAAGTAACACCCTACCTCTCAAGCAGCCTGAGTCCAACATCTTCCCCTACGGTACAAGTGTCCAGATACCCATTCTTGGAATGGTCATGGTTACCATTCAGTTCCAATCCAACACTTTGGATGCCAATTTCTATGTTGCCAAGGGAACCGGTGGAAATCTCTTAGGTTGCCAAACAGCCGAACAGTTAGGAATTTTAAAGA